TTAAAAAAGGACTTCTTGTTGTCCTTAATCCGGGAAGCCAGCCCCTGTTCCATCTCTGCCTTGGCCTTCCTAACCATCCCCCTACATCCCCGAGCAACTGCTGAATAGTCCTCCTTAGTGATGACCCCTCCTTTCCATTGGGAGTAAGCCTCCTTTTTGGCAAGGAGACATTCCCGGATGTTTTTAGTGAGCCATGGAGGCTTATATGCTCTCCTGCCCCCTTTGACCCTCCTGGGGATTACCTTCCTCTGGGCTTGGAGGATCGTCTCCTTTAGGAGCGACCACTCCCCTTGGACACCCGGCTCCCCTCCGAGTAAAGTAAAGCACCGAGTTCATTTAAAGACAAGAATTTGTAAGGATTTATAAAACTCAGAAAAAAAATACTTTGAAGGGGTGAGGGAAAAAGTGACTTAGTGTCAGACATTGTTATTCACATGCTATCCTCTGACCTTTTCTCAGGCTACTGAAGAGAGGGCTGATGCAGAGCAGATAAACAGCAGTAAATGCGCTAAGCTATGTCTGCTCAACTGTCACCACCTGAACAGCTCAGGATTTTTGCATAAATTCTTTTTTGGGGGGCAGAATATGCAGTTTCTACAAAATCTAATTTTATCCAGTAAAGGAATGATGCTTTAGCTAACATTTTTCCATTTCCCATCTGTGAACCGAAGCAAAAACATCCATTGGTCAAACTGAAGGGCAATGTTTTTCAGGTCAATTCATTAGTCTGTGTCTGCCTGAGTTGCCAGAAGGCCCCTGGACCAGGCTTTCCTCCTGCACCACAGCTCGTGCTGCTCCCACCCCCAATTCCTCCAACCACAAGTTGCAGTACCTTGCAGGAGCCACATAACCACAGTCCATCACGGAAGAGGGATGTGGACAACATGGAGAGGGTCCAGAGGAGGGCCACCCGCATGATCCGGGGACAACAGGGCAGACCCTACAGTGAGAGACTGCAGGACCTGAACCTATTCAGCCTCCATAAGAGAAGGCTGAGGGGGGACCTGGTGACAGTCTATAGACTCACTAGGGGGGACCAGAAGGGTTTGGGGGAGACGCTGTTTCCCCTAGCGCCCGCTGGCATAACAAGGAGCAATGGGCACAAGTTGATGGAGAGGAGGTATAGATTGGACATCCGCAAGAACTACTTCACAGTTAGGGCGGCTAGGAGCTGGAACCAACTTCCAAGGGAAGTGGTGCTGGCCCCTACCCTGGGGGTCTTTAAGAAGAGGCTGGATGCCTACCTGGCTGGACTCATTTGAGTCCCGTTTCTCTTTTTGGGGTTTTTTTGTTGTTCTCCCGCCCTGGCGGGGGGTCGGGCTAGAAGATCTACTAGGTCCCTTCCGACCCTTAATCTATGAATCTATGAATCTATAAGATGTGGCCAATCTCAATGAAATGTTGAATAATTTGTGTGTCAGCATTCTGCTTTTTGAAAAAGGTTGATCCTTCAACTTTTTGTCTCCATTTGGGATGAAAACATGCCTCAAACTCATGAAACATCCCGTGGGATGAGGATTTCAGGTTTTTGTGTGGATGTGTATGCATGCACACTCACACACGTGAGAAATTTCTGACCACAGGAAACAACTAAAATATTTGGGAATTGCAGGATTTCAGGGATAACACTACCTTGTTCTCAATGGAGTTACTGAAGTAAATGAAGTTTCCCATTGTCAGTGCCATTGGGTCCTACTGCATAACTAGCTTAAATACATAGGTGGTACTTTGAGGCCAGTGGGAGTATTTGCACTGAATTCTGTGCCAAAACTGCTATTCATTTAATGGAGGTTAAACCCCACTTGCTTACTCACAGAAGAGTTGTACTGCTCTCAAATTGCTATTTTGTGTGTACAATAGATGTCTTGGTGGGAAGACAGGAGTTTGAAGAAAAAGGACTAAGTGGAAAACTTCATAACATAACCAGTTGGAAAGGTAGGTATTAAGGAATAAGAGGGGTGTGTGCAATCCAAATTGGAACGGGAAATCGGTGGGGCCAGGGTAAGGTCTCTACTGATTCCTCACACAAAAATATCTTAAATTGAAGCAATTCCTTACTTTCCAGGTAAACCAGTTCTTCGTTTCCTTTAGGACCTTCTCCAGCCAGTGTTGAAGCTGTCATCCACAAGCTATATGTCACACCTTGTTGTAAATTTTTGATATAAAACGAATCTATGGAACTCTCTTGACGAATGCCTGGGGGAAGGCGAGAGAGAGATGAGAAATCACCCAAAGAATCCAGCCTGCTGGTTGTGCTTGTTCCAGAGCCCCGATGATCCCCGCTACCCCTGCTTCCTCCCACCCTTTGGGATCTGCCTCATTGTCCAAGTTCTGGCTTCAGCTCCTCCTGTGCCCTACGGAGTGACAAGCTTTTCCTCCACCAAGCGTTCTTCCTCCTCTGAATCTTTGTTCAACTTTCCAACACAAGTCCCCCCAGGGCCCATTGTTTCATGTAACCTATTTGCCTAAGTTGGACTGCCAACTACTTTAAGCTGGGACCTTGTTTTCCATGTCTGCTAGGCACCATGTATCCAAAAGGGTCTCTGTAAATATAACCTGTCTAACATTTGCTGCCCTATTTAAATTGGCATAGTTGCTAAATCTTAAAGGGGACCCTAAGTCTAGATGAACTGTATTAGCAGCTGAGGTGCTTTCACTACACGTGGCCCAGAGCCTGAAGAAACTCTCAGTGGAGGGATCCCACTGAACCTGGTGATGTCCATAAAGCACCACGTCACGGTGGTCTATTCATGCTAAGCTTTTAAAAGGACTGGGGGCCGGGAACATCTATGCAGTGTTGAGCAGGTCCTTTCATCTCCTCCCCAAGGGTTCATCTTTGTTCCTCTTCTCATGTTGTCTACTAGCATGAAGCAAAAATAAAACAAAGCAAAAAAAAAATCATCAAACACAAGAAATAAGGACTATTTAAATTTCTTCTCACCTGTCCTGAGTTTCTATATTTAGAAGCCAGGGCTCCTGCAACAGCTTGGTCCACATTAGCACTGTCAAATACTATAAAGGGAGCATGCCCCCCAAGCTCCATGGAGACCCTTTTCACAGTGTCAGCAGCATAGTGCAGCAG